AAATTTCTGTTTAAATAAATAAAAAATATTAAATTTTATTTTTATAATTTTTTAATAATCAAATTTAAATTACTTATTCACAATAATTACATTTTGCTTTTGATTTTATATTATTCCAAGTATAATATATCCATATTTCACTTCTTGTTTTTTTGCTCTTATTAAATATACTAATATCATTATATTTCATTATTAATATTTTCTGATTCTTGATTAGTATCACTATCAAGTATAAAAGAATTATTTGTATTTTGAAACGAAGACAATTATTATTTTTATAAATAATAAAAAAAAAACGAGTTAACAAAAAAAACAAATTTTGCTTTAGCAATAAAAATTTTTTTATCATTCAAAATTCATTTTATCTATTGCAATATAATAAATGATAATTTATAATTGATTATCATTATATATTAGTTGTGATCTATATAAATTAAATTGATTGAATCTGATTTGAATATTGATTTTTCTTCTCTTTTTTCTCGCTTCAGATTTGTTATTATCATAATCATGCCTAGAGAAAACCATATGTCCAAAGTTGCTCACCTCACTTGCTCTAGTTATAAAGATTCTTTCTAAGAAACCATAGTAATGCTTCAAAAAAGAGTTAAAATTTTGGAGCATTTGGCATGTTGTGGAGAGAAAGTTAAGACCTTACAAGAAGAGATTATCAAGTTGAAAGAAAAGGTTACCAAGTTACAAGCTGACTTGAAAAAACTTTCAGATGCTCGGATCCTTTACTGTCGCAATAGAGAATTGGAGTAGGAAAACTTCAATTTGAAGAACAGGATGGCTCAGTTGGGGGGACTCCTTCAACTTTTAGAAACACCTGCCCCTGCTCCTTTCGACCGGTCCTTTTTCACCTTTGAATTCAATTAGAGGTTTGCCTTTTTTGACCTTGATGTTTTGTTCTGTTTAATCTAGCTTTATGAATTCATTACAAGAAATATAGTAATTGCTGAGTATGCTTTATAGGCCAGTTGTAATAAAAAAGGAGAGCTTAGTGGGCCCTCTTCATTATACTATATTTCTTGCTTGTTTCTTAGTTTTCAGATTTTTTTCTTTATTCAAGGGTTTAATGATACTTGTATTTGGACAAGTTGAAAACTGGACTATCATGGTATCTACATCCACGTCGTATAGCCTGGGTGCTGTATTTCATACAGTAGCTAAAAGATACCTCAAGATTTCAATGTTTCTTATTAAAAATATAAAAGTAATAATGATAATAAAATAATAAAGTTTTAATAAAATTAAAAATATTTATATGAATAAAATGAATATATTATTTGTGCAAAATGAATTGAAAGAATAGTATTAATTACTTTAATAATTTCATAAAATACTGTAGCCTCAAATATCATCCTGCTACAATTTTGCACTTCATGACTAACTAGCCTTTAACCAGCATATGCTATGGATTCCTAAGAATCAAGATCATCTATGGCTATGTAATGGTTTTATGAAATTATCAGAACAAAATAATAATATTTTTTTTCAAATCATAAAAATAAAGAAGTAAAATAATATGTGTGTTACTAATGTTAATAGAGTATGAGAGATAATCAAAGAAATAATGAAGGAATTATAAAAAGGTAAGGGTAAAAAGGGATAAGGTAATTATTAACTTTACTTTTGTCTTTATAGAATCTTGATGGTACGGTATAGTTTAATCACGATAGGGTAAGATCAGTATGTATATGCTAATAGTTTTGATGATGTACTATATGTTAACCATATTTTTGTAGGTTTTGATGTGGCTTCGTGGGGATGGTTAGTTGGTTTGGCGGCAGTAAGCTTTTCTGTAAGCTTTTTTTCTCGTCATCTTCATCGGTTGGTGATACTTTCCATCATTGTCATTGTCGTCACAGTTTCGGAAGGACATACTTTGTCAGTAGGATATTGATCCGTCAGATGAAAATACATTGGTGGTAGGATAGACATCGGCATGATGGTTGTGAAGATAATAGTGGTAGCATTCATGATTGATGTTGATGGTATATTCTGGTGTTTATCCATAAGAAAACAGGGCAATTGTTATAGACTAATCTATTCTTGAGATCATACTTCAACTGGGTAACATCATCGCAGCTGCTTCATTATTTATATCAACTTCTATCGACATTTCATCTTCTGAAAAATTCAAGCCATAGCAAAACCTTGACCACTGTAGTCTTTGTACTTTCCCAACCTCTCCTTATCCATCTGGCTACCTTGACGTTATTGCCACTTCCACTGGAAATATATATTTTTTTTGATTGGATAGGTGTTCGTTTACTCATAGGGGTGCAATTGTGATCATTATCGTGATCACGATTATAACAGCATCCCAATGTTTACATCAGAGCTGTTATTTTCTTGAGGTGAGGTAAGCATTCCATTTGTTATATCCATTTTTTTTGTTTTTGGATGGTTAGTTCTTTTTCTAATCACTCTTGTTTTTTTTTTTTTTCTTTCCATGTCGGTGCCTTCTTCGCGGTCTTGTCCTGGTATTTCCAATCGTCAGGATGGTATATCTCTTATCAGTCGTTTATTACGGTGGGGGTTTGTCAGAGCGTTAGACTTTCCTTGCTGCTTTGACATTTTTGAGAATATATATGCATGCATATATTCTAGGCATGCTTAACTTTTGTAGACTTCATATGATAAACATTTTTTCTTCGCGATCGTGATCATGATCTCGATTATAATGGCATTTCGGTGTTCATATTCTCTCGTTTTGATACAATTCTAGTAAGTCACAGCATTTGTGATGTTTTCTTCATTTTGCGGCGTTTTACTATTGGCTTCTAACTTTTTCTTATCAATCTTTCCCTAGCCCCATGCTCTCGATGTCCGATTCACCATCCGCAGGTTCTCCTTGACCCTTGGCAATATCCATGTCCCTGGCTTGGCTACCGGAGTCTTGTCGGTAAGTTTGGTTCTTTGTCTTTGGTTTCTTTGCCATTCTTCTTTTTACTGGACAATCCTTTCTTCCTTTTAGGAACTTGTCCCTTTCTTCTTTCGGCGTCATAATTTTTTTTGTGATCATCGGCACTAACAATTTATTGAGAGATAAGCAGTCTCTTTTCTCTCTTTTCTTTTCTTCTTTTTATTTTTTATTTTTTTATAATTATCGTTATAATTATTGTTTTAAAGGAAACAGCCAATGCTAATCTGTCATTTTCTCTTTGTATGTTGGAGGTGCGTCAAATTTCTCGTAATCATATGACATATCGGCCGTATTCTCAGGGCCGAAGACTCGCTGCAAGGTAAGTATCTTCTTGGCTGTTGGGATGGATAGGGACATATGGTTTCTTTGGGAATGATGTAGTGCAGTGTTATTCTTATTCATCATCATTTTTTTTTTTGTATTTAATTTTTTTAAGGGGAGGTATATATACCACTGATCCCATAATAGTCATTCTTTAGGCTTTGCTTTTCTTCTGCGCAAGCCATTCCAGAGCTTCTATTGTTGGATTTGGACTTCTTTTAGGTTGGGACGATGCTTCTTCATCTATTCGACATATACCAGCAGCCAAATTCTTCGTAGGCATCATTGTTGAAACGGAATTGGTTTTTGTTTCTCCAATCGTTATGGACACAACATTGCTTTCGTCGCTTTTTGAAGATCAAACTTCCTCAGGACAATTTCTCAGGAGTGGCAATCAAAGAGCATTCCATTTTTGGGACCTGATTGTCAAATTTGCATCTAACAGATGAGATACACCTCACAGTCACCACCAATTTGTCATATATCATTCTATCTCAGAAGAAAGATATAGACAGAGAACTAATAGCAAGGAGACACTTTGTATGAATGAACCAATATAATATGCTAAAGTTTATAAGGGTGTACTAAAATTAGTACAGTTCTGAGGTATATAAGATCAAGCAAAAGAGGCAATGGTGATTTGTTTTTTAAAGGTCAAGTTATTTTATTAATAAAGAGAAAAGTTCAACCTTGCAATTCCAGAAGGAATTGGAGGCATTTATATATTGTTGGTCTTAACAGCAAATCTGTCGCTAATCTGAACCAAGACTCATACGATATTGGGAGAGTGGGTCTATATCGCTGGCGATACCAAAGGTATGTATAGTGATAATTATCCTTATCTTCTTCTTCTCTAGGTTGGTTCCTTTTCTAATCCTTCGTTGCCAAACTGCAGGACTTGTGGATTCTTTCTAGGACGACTTAGAGACAAATAAGGTAAGTTTATTAATTATCGTTGCACTAGCACACAATTGAATTTACAGCAAATGGTATTTTACTAATTCGTTATTTGATCGCGTCTTTTGCGTGTCTCTTTTTACATTGGATATCATTGCTATTTATACATGGCTGCGACATGTTCCTAAATTTATCATCACTTTATATAGAATTATTAAACTTCTACAAGCTTTGCACCCATTAATGATGCATGATTGATGCATGACCGATGCCCCATGTGGCACCACGCTGGGCCCCATATGTTGCATCATATCCTCTACTATAATTTCTATGCTAACAATACATATTTTTAATATATGATTGGTATACATGATAATAGTATATGTTGGTAAAGATAATAGTTATGGTAGAGATGGTATCTTTATCAAAATAGTCAAATATACTAATATTGATAGAGATGAATACTCTGGCAAAAATAACAAAGTGATAATAGTAAATAAAATTAAAGAATATTTTAGAATAGAAAGAAATAGCTAAGTAAGTAAAGTAGGCAAGGTATTATAGTAGATCAATAGTATAGAAATTCTAGAACAAGAAAAGGATATTTCAGGGTTAAATACTAGTAGATTGTTACAAGAGTAGATAAAATATTAAGCGAAGATCAAGTGTAACAATATGAAAATCATAAATTGATTGAATCTAATTTGAATCAAGTTTTTAATAATTTTATTTAAAATTAGAATCAAATCAAATCAAATCGAAATCAAATCATTTAAATTTAATTTTTTTAATTTAAAAATCGAATTGAATTGAATTGAATCGAAATTTTATTGTTTAAATTTAATTTTTTAAATAAAAGAATTGAATTGAATCGAATTGAATCAAATTGTTTAAATTCGATTCTAAATAGAATCGTTTGGATCCTTATGTCAGACATATATATGATATAATTTTGACCTTGACGATGTGACATGCCACCAAGTGCCATTAATTAAATTACTATAAGTTAATATAACCAAATTAGGAGCATAAGGCCATAGAGTGTGCATATCTTTTTCCTTTTTATTTCTTTTATTTACTTTTTCATTTCATTATATTAATTAAGTACATATGTCTCCAGAGGTTAAGCCCAATATAGATATACAGAGAGACCTCCCTAAATGCACCCTCTATAACTGCACTTACTATATTTTCTCTCTCTAAATGCACGGTCAAGCTTGGTCCCAAGTACATAGAACTCTTAATAAAATTACCTCCATAAATGCACACCCTCTATAAATGCACATTTTTCAAAAATTTTCCTATGGTCCCGAGGGGTGTGCATTTAGAGAGGGTTCACTGTATATATTTTTATATTTATTTATTTATGTATTTGTACATTGTATAATATATATAAAAGAATGCTCTTTTGACCTTAATAAAGTTCTAACTCTGTCAACATTAAAATTATAATCATTCAAGTTTATTGTCTTTTTAAATCATTAATAATTTATTTAAGACTTTTACAACTTGATAATAGTGGATTCAAAGAACTTTCTTTTGTAAAGAAATCCCAAACAAAACTTTGCCAAAATGGATGCCACTCAATTTGCAATTTTTATAAAAGCTTTCCAAAAGACCATGAAAACTCTTGCTATAGAAAAGGGTAAACAATCTGCTGGAACAAGTTCTTCGATTGCTACTACTGCTGCATCCAAAATATTTTTGAAAATCCCTATGTTTAAAGAAGAACCTGGGGAAAATGTGGAAGTTTGACTGCATCAAACAAAGAATATTCTGCATATACAAGAAATTAAAAATAAAGAACAAATAGTTCACTATATCACCACAGGATTTGAAGACACCACCCTCTATTGATTTGTTAATAAAATTAAGGACTCTGTTACCACACTTTTACTGAATAGAACCAATTTAAGAAAGAACTCTGAATCACCTTCCAATCCTTACACTATCAACAATATCTGTGTTGCCAATTTAAAACCTTGCTTCAAACAAAAACCATGCAAGAATATGTCTTCTAATTTAGGAACCTGATAAGTCAAATTGATGATATGCATTATTTGAACTGAGTTGCCTATTTTGTAGAAGGATTGAAGCCTGTTACCAGAATGGAAGTAAGCTACAAGTCTCCAGAAACCCTCGACAAAGCCATCCAAATTGCAAGCCGATATGACACTACCATGTTTGGTCTGGGACGACCGATAGGAAAATTTACCACCTGAGAATACCAACCCCAAAAGAGAGACCAACAATCCAAACCAACCCCAATGGAATTAAACTGTACTGAGACTTATAGAAAAACATTAACCAGCAGCCAGTACTAAAAGAAACAAGTGAAATGCTATAATTGTGAAAAAATGGGCCATTATACTTGAGACTGCCAATCTAAGAAAGCTGAAACCAAAGCAAAAGTTACTATAATAGAAGAACAATCTACTTTCCCAGATGCTGAGTTTATCCATATTGAAGAAAATCGAGAACAGTTACTCTATTTTAATAAAAAGATTAATGGACATCCCACCTGGATTCTGCTGGATAGTAAGGCCTCCAAGAATTTTATTGATGAGAAATTTGCTAATCAATGATGACTGCCAAAAGAATTAATCAAATCCTTTACTGTGGAACTGGCCAATGATCAAAAGAAAGAAGTTTCCACTGAAGTAAAGATCAAGAAGTTGGAGTTGAACCAATACCACACCTCTGGAATCTTTGCTCAAGTTTTGAACCTGTAATGATATAACGCTATTTTAGAAAAGCCTTGGTTGTTCCAAGTCAACTCCAACATTAACTGGAGAACCAACACCTTATTCTTCCCAAATGGACTGTGCCACATTACCATTAATATTAATACCAACTGAGCTAACAAAAACCCACATGTAATTTTATTTTTATCTCCAAACACTAACTTGTCAAGATACCTTCAAACGAAAAGCTGTATACTATATATGCTACCCCTGATGGTGATATTCCAGAAGAAACCAAACTTTTTTCAAAAGAAACTGTGATTACTAAAGAATTTGCTAATGTTTTTTCTCCTGAACTGCCCAATAAATTGCCACACAAAAAAAAGATTGACCATGCCATAGATCTGCTACCAGAAGCCAAATCACCATCAAGATCCACCTACCTTTT